GTTGTTAACACAGATGAATAATGCCTCACTAATCTGCTCTATGTTTCTGTGCACTGAAGCAATGCTGCATACTTCTCCTGTACTTTATTCAGAGGTGCTAGAGACAAGACTGATCAGATGTATGGTTCATCCTGGTGGGTAACTGTACTCCCATTTTCCATTAAAAGGGCATCAGATAAAGAATCATTTCTGACCTCATAGTGAAACTGGATTCCATCATGTAGCAACTGTAGACTGTCAGGCCATTTATCACTTAAGAGTAGAATTATACTCTTAAGAGTAATTATACTTTATTTACCTAGACAGGGAGTGGGAAGTTTCGTATATATAAAAAAGAAAGGAATACTGTGCCACCTGCTGGTTTTTACCTCACACAACAAGAATATCCATGTGTTTCATTAGGAAATAATCTAAAAAAAATTCCACACTGCCTTGAATGTAAGTCATGCTTCTAAATGATAATTTTATAAATCTAAATCAGTAAAATAATCTGAACTGCCTGAAATTGGGTTCCATAGTACAGCTGAACTGAAAAAAAAGTAGAACTGGAAACATGCAAACTGGGCAGATTGCGATGTCAAACAGACTCTTAACTCTGATTTAGTGCAAGATGTACAATTTTAGATCAGTTCCAAATGAATACGCTGGAGGCACATCCAGCAATTTAAAAGGTTGACAATCCAACATAAGGGTGGGTATTTTTACCTGCCTTTTCATGGTACAGACTTCACGTAAGTACTGCTTAGTGTTATTGAAGGAGTTTAATAAATGTTTGGATGAACTAGGGAGTGTTGCTGGATCCTGAAAGGAAGTCAAAGGAGTTGTTTGGCCTGTCAGGTGACCTATTTCAGTAATGGGAACTATGGACAGTCAGGCAAATTCTTTATAGTTTCCGTACAGATTGACATACATGTCTGAATTTATCACTGGGAAGTTACTTAAAATGGCCTTCCCAGATACTGATTATTTATTTAGTTAGCAAATGCAATTCCCTGAAGGCAAGCAATATTTGCTAAGTTTAAGGTGATTAGTCCACCACTTAGTCTGTACACTGCCCTCAGTGACATGTTGCATTGTTTATGTCTTTTCGAAAGGTTTGAGGGGTTTGTACTGAGGCCCAAGTGATGGAGATTCAATGATAAGCGAGAAGCTCATCAGGCTTCTTCTGAAATTGTTTAGGAAGCACCACTCTTGCCGTGTGAGATCAAAGCCTACAACTCCATGGCTGGGGTTCGTCACAAGAAATTTAGTGATTTCTGTGTTCCCCATTCCTTGATTCAAAGGATGTCTGCCTGTAAATCTTGGTCAGGAAGGGTGGTCCAGATGGGACACTGAGATGGAAGGCCAGTTCTTATTGACTACTACTCACTGTTACAATGGGAGAGATTTAAAAGAACATTGAACCAAACTGGCTGCCCTATGAAAATGATAATTTAAATAAAGACATTCAGGAGCATTGCACATAAGAACTAGGTTCAGGAGTAGGCCACTTGGCCCCTCAAGACTGTTCACATTTTAATACTGTAGTGATTGGAACCAGGTAGATCTTGTTGACTATGTGATCCTCGATTGGGGTTGTTAACCCGAATCAAGCAGGAAGCCTTGACTGACCAATATAAACGGGGGGCTTGTCTGGGTGTCCCTGGAGAAGGAGCACACTGGTGCTCTTGATGCCTTTTGGGAGACGTGGGCACAGCGGGTTGTGGAGTGCTTTGTTTCCCCCACAAACTCTATTTTGATTTGATCTCTACCGTCCCCCTTACTTTTCTTTTCACATAGGCATTGCCCCTAGGGGCTCTGTTTGATACTGATGCTTTTGTCACACGGGTGTTTTTTTCCCCTGGTGGTGGTATGTTAATAAAGTTATATAAAACAAAAACAGGGGGCTTAGAATCTCTTTAGTTCAGGGGACTGACTCCGAGCTGGCTGGCCACGGCCAGAGTACTGTGCAAAGTAAATAAAGGGTGACTTCGTGACAGGATACCAGCCTCTGTGCAGTTATTTCAGTGGCGACGGGAGAAAACAGTACACGCCTGAAGAACATTTGCTCGCAACAGTCATCTTGTAGTTGGGTAAGCATTTCTGGCATCATGCCATTATTTGGGAAGTTTGACTTGTTCAATCCTGCTGTTGAAGATTGGGCCCAGTATGTGGAACAAATATGATATATTTTCCAAGCAAATGACATTGGGGCAGATGTAAAGCAATGAGTAATCCTCCCGACTGCTTGCGGACCTGCAACATATGCGGTTATAAGGGGCTTAACTTTCCCAGAGGCCCCAGAAAACCTTCCAAGAGTTGACAGAGTTGGTTAAGGAATAATATGACCCCAAACCTCCTCTAATTCTGAGACACTACCGGTTTTATTTGACTGTTAGAGAACCGGGGGAATCTGTGTTGGGATTTTTGACGAGGTTCAGATGACTGGTAGAGGCATGTGATTTTGGGCTAACCCTGACTGAGATGCTGAGAGACCATTTGGTATGTGGGATTAATGACGTTACCATGCAGAAGCGCCTACTAGCTGAAGCACAACTGAACTCCAAACAGGGACTGCAGCTAGCCTTGTCATTAGCAAATGCAGCAAGTGGAGCACGGGAGCTGGAGGGCATCCCACTGGAAATGGACAATCCCTCACCGTAGAGAACGGCATATTACTATGTGGAGCAAGGGTGGCTGTCCTGAGTAAAGGTCGCCGCAAGATAAGGTCGCCGCAAGATACTGGCCGAACTCCACCAGGGTCATCCAGGAGTCTCCAAGATGAAGATGCTGGCAAGAAGCTATGTCTGATGGCCAGGTTTGGATGCCCACATAGCTGCATTGGTGGACAAGTATCCAGAGTGCCAACAAGGAAAACATTTGCCACCAGCAGCACCCCCACATTCGTGGCAATGGCTGGGTAAACTCTGCACTCGGTTGCATGTCGTCTATGCCAGTACTTTCACGGGCTCAATGTTCCTGGTCATTGTGGAAGTCCATTCAAAGTAGTTGGTCATGCATAAACACTGCGAATATTGTTTGTGACACACGGACTCCCGGACATAATGGTCACAGACAATGGGACCTCATTTACCAGCAGGGAATTTGAGTATTTTGTATGGTTGAATGTCATTTGGCAGATACAGACAGCTCCATACCAACCATCGTCCAACGCTCCTAGCAGAAAGAATGGTCCAAACATTGAGGACAGGCTTAAGGAAGCAGCCTACAGTGTCACTTGATACCAAACTGTTCCAGTCCCTGTTTGATTATCGGACCACCCCACACACAACAACAGGGATAACTCCAGCAGAGTTGCTGATGGGGAGAAGACACCGCACCAGATTAAACCTGATATTCCCAGACCTGGTGGGGGGAGGGTGAAATGGCAGCAGGAATGCCAATGCCAGCCACATGCCATATCTAAGTAAGAGAGACAATTTAATTCAGGGGACGAAGTTTGGTGCTGGAACCATGAGAATGGCCCTGTATGGGTATAGGGCAAGGTTGATGTGAGGTCAGTTCCCATGACTTACAAAGTTTGGGTAGGTCAGACAGAGTGAACAAACATGTGGATCACGTGCAAGTTGTTACCTCGCAAATGGGGCAGGAGCAAAACATACCCGGCCCCTCAGAACAGCCAGAAGGCCTGTCTGATACTGTAGGTTCTCCCCCTCTGTCGAGTGTCAAGGAAACCTCAGAGTCTGAGATAGATGCAGCCTTGACACCGTTACTGCCAGAAGAAGAGGAGAGAACTCTCCCGAGATGCTCCAGACGCAAGTGATGGGCCACGGTCTGGTACACGCCATCCAATGAGCCATGATGAGCAATGCTTACATAAGAGGATTTATCATAAAGAGAGAAAATGCGTACTGATACAATGCTGTATTGAGGAAATCCTACATTGCTGGAGATGTTTGGAAAAGAAACTAAAGTGAGTGCCATCTGACCTGTTCCATGTCTTGCTAATACTGAACATTCAATTGATGTCACCAGAAGAAAAGATTGCCTTGTTATTATCATAGGGGCTAAGGAGTGGTAGTATATCAGTTATGTTGCTGGTAATCCAGAAGAATGGATTAATGCGTTAGAGGCATCAGCTCAAATCTCATTACAGAATTTGAGTTATTTCAATTCATAGAGTCATAGAATCATAAAGACATACAGTACAAGAAATGACCATTCGGTCCAACTAGTCCATGCCGACCATAATCCCAAACTAAACTAGTCCCACCTGCCTGCACTTGGTCCATATCCTTCCAAACATTTCTTATTCATGTACTTATCCAAATATGTTTTAAATGTTGTAACTGTATTTGCATCCACCACTTTCTCCGGAAGTTCATTCCACACGTGAACCACTGGGTAAAAAAAACTGCCCCTCATGTCTTTTTTTAAATCTTTCTCCTCTCACCTTACAAATATATCCCTTAGTCTTGAGATCCTCCATCCTAGAAAAAGACACCAGCCATTCAGCTTGTCTATATCCCTCATGCAATTCAAATAAATCTGAAATTAAGAAGCTGGAATCAGGAAAGATGACCATGAAATTCCAAGCCTGTTGCAAAAAGCCATGTGATTCACTTCTGTCTTTTAGGAAAGGAAATCTGCTGTCCTTACCCAGTCTACCCTACATATGATTCCAGACCCACAACAGAGTGGTTGATTCCTAACTGTCATCAGATTTGGTCAAGCAAGTCATTTAGTTGAACATCAATTAGGGATGGGCAATAAAAGCTATCTTGTTAGTGACATCCTGCAAGTGATATTTTTTTTAAAAAACTGCTGTTGGTGGAACCTTGCAAATTGGCTGCTACAATTTCATTAGGATAATAACTACTACATCTTAAAAACACTTCATTGGTGAGATCACAAAATGCATTGTGTAAATGTAAGCCTTTTCCTTTCTTCATAACATGAAATATAACGATAAGGTTATTTCTCACATATCAGACAATAGGATCGTCACTATTTTCTTCTTACAGAATTTCAGTACAGGTATACTTAGTTTAGTTTCCTACCCGGAATCTTGCATTATGCACCCAACCCATTGGTCTTCACACTTGCAGTCACCTGCAAGAAAAAAAAGACTACTTATATTTTGATATATATGTAACATAATTCTAATCATTTCAAAGACTGACATCAAGAATGATATTATACATTAAAAACTCCTTTTGTTTAAATATGCAGTAAGCCCTTTTAACATCAATTTACAAAATACTCTGGACAATATGAAAAGCTCAGTAGTAAATGAATCTCCATCATTTGTTTCACAATTCTGTTAAGAAAATTGGTTAATAAATCAGAGTGGATTCTTAATCATGTAATATACTGATCTTAATCTTTGATGACACTGTGTAACCTTATTTTACGTTGCAGCTACCAAACAAGTTAGAGCAAAGAACAAACATTTCAAATTATAATCAACGCTGAAACTTTCGATTTAGTTATTTGTTTGCTCGCCGAGCTGGTTGTTCCGTGGTGTGCAGATGTTTCGTTACCATTCTAGGCAACATCATCAGTGCGACCTCTAATCAGAGCGTTGGTTTTCTGCTCCGAATTTATATGGTCCTTTGTTGTGGTGGGTCTTGTCATTTCCGGTTCTGTTTTTTAGCAGCGGTCTGTATATGGGGTCTATTTCTATGTGTTTGTTAATGGAGTCCCATGTTGAGAACCAGGCCTCTAGAAATTTCCTTGCATGTCTGTTGTTTGCTTGCCCCAGTAATGATCACTTTGTCCCAGTCGAACTGATGGCCCTCATTGTGTGTATCGAGCCAAGTAAATGTTGGTCGTGTCTTCTTACTCTTTACATCTACACTTAAGAATCGAACTTTGGTGATGCTTATTATTAGCTTAAATGTTGATCCCTTCCTGCTATTGATCATAAAGTACTTTTTTCCTTTCAGTGACAGGGTCATTGGTCACCTCCACGACAATCCTATTTGACTCTTTTCAGCATTGTTTCTCTGTTATTTTCTCTATGTTCACAAATGCCCCATGAATTTGGTTGCTGGAGATGATGATGACACAGCATCAGAATGTGCTAATACTATACACATAGGAATAGGGATTTTAAGCTTCCAATGTCTCTGCAGCCTCATTCCATGATAGATTAATTCAATCCCACATGTGTCACTGACTACTTAGTAATGTTAAATAAGGAGTTTATGATTTGCATAATAAATCCAATACAGTATATCTTGCAATATCAGTATATCAGCAATAGGTATTGGAGTTTGCCTTTCTAAGGTGATTAAGGAGATTAATTTTGGATGTCAGCACCCTTTATACCTTTCAGTTTTTTTAATGATGTTTCTAACCCATTCTCCTTAAGGTGTTTAAAACTTATTTTAAAAATGCATCTCCTGTCAAACTCCTTTAGAATTACATTAATTTTTTTTATTATTTTGTATCGGCCTGGCTAAGTGAAAATGAAAGCTAGAGTCATTAACTTCATAGCATTATTACACTACGCTGAAGTTTGGGACAGGATAATGTTTTGCACAAATAAACAGGTTGGGATCTATCTACTTCCTGATTTTATGAAAGTGGGACGAAGACTGATAGCCTACTTACTCCTGGGAGACTGTTATGGACCAGACCAGATCCTTTCAAAATATTTTAAGAAGGTAACCTAGACCCTGACTTTTTCTTATTTTAAAGGTAGATGTGAAGTGTCGTTTTCCAGTTGCGACTGGTCAAACTACTCAACATTAAGAAAAACACAATTTATTTAAACACTATAAATAAAATACAAACAAAAGGAAGAGGAATTTAAAATAACTTAACTATTGGAAAACTTAACTGAATAATCGATATAGTACTCATTACTAATTAATTGTTCCAAAATCGTAACGTCCCATAAACACACCCCTTGGCAAAAAGGCAAACCCAACACAAATTCTCACAAGCAGTTCTCCAAACCAGGAGGGAAAAAATCATCAAGAGATTATTCAGAGAGAATAACAGCTAGAGACATTCACTGAAGGTTCCAACTCTTTTGAGACCCCAAAGGCTTCTGCTCAAAACTAAACATGAAAACTAAGAAAAAATCAAGAAAGCCTGGTCTGTGAGAGCTGGCCGCACGCAGGCTGCGTCCACTATTCCAACTTAAATCCCCAAGGCCTCGTAAATTGTTTACTTTCTTCGAGACAGCTCTGGACCTCTGCTTTACAACCTCTCTTCAAAAAAAAGGACAAAATCGCCTCTTAAAGTTACAGCATCGTCACTAGACAGACTAGTCCTTTAAATACTATAGTGAGTCCGACAGTATCACAGTTAATCTACCTTGCAAATTTAACACTGACTGATCTGGTGAAAATGAGTGCCCTTAAGGCACTGTTAGTGGAGCAAGAACAGCAGGAATGCTTTTTCCACACCCATCAATCTTACTTTCCCCTTTCCATCAGACAAAATCGGATGTAACGGCTAATCCAATTTCACATCCACCCACAGTGTCACACTATCCCCACATTCCCAAAAAAGTACCAACAGGTTTCTTGCTTTAAGCTACCTACCCAGCAGGAAGCTAACTCCGTCAATCATGTTGGCATCCAGGCATGGATCCAGTCCACAAATTGGAGGGAAACCCACTTGCAACCAGTCCATGTCAACCCTGGGTTACTGTTTTAAGTGATTTCCTACATGAGGTTCACAGGTCACAATAATCCATTACTGTAACAATATGTTACAGATTCATATATTTTGTATAAGAATTATTTCATACCTGTGCAGAATTACCATCTAACTATGTGCCAATTGTAAAGGTTTACATAATTTTGTTTGCACATAATAGAACTTAACTCAAAGATATTACAACATATTTCCTATTTTACTCCACTGACTACACTTCAAAAGGACTTTATTGGCTGTAAAGCATTTTAAGATGTCCTGAGGTCATGAAAAATATGATATAAATGTAATTATTTCTTACATTAAAATTAATACAAATAATTTTATGAAAATTACTGTTCCACTAGCAAGTCTTACCTGCTGGGAAATTATTTTGCGAATTCATCTGCTTATTAATAGCCTGTGTAAATTGATATTTTTCATGTCTAAATTATCAATACTTCAATATCAGTTACCACCATGGGAGCACTCCAGGCTCCAAATTTACCCTGATACATAAGGTTCTTGTTAGGAGCACAAATTACAAAATTATTCTCTATAGGTTGGTTCTCAAACTGATTTAGCAGTTCAAAAATGTGCTGTGGCTCATCAGCAGCAGAAGAACTATATTTGACCTCAATCTGTAAGTTCCTGACCTGGCACATCCCTCTTTCTAACATTACCATCATGTTGGGTGATCAATCCAATGAGACCAGAGACATTATTTTTCATGTGATTATGCACACACAAGGTAGAAATTTGAATAATGAATTGTGCATATGACTAGAAACATTTAATGCTATTCAGAAGCAGTTTGTATCCATGAGAAGGAAAAGCTCTGCCTGACAAACAAAACAGCTGTGGATATAAGGAAGTATGGAACAGCATAAAGTTAAACAGAAAGAACTTATAGAAATACAAAGAATATAAAGATCTCAAAGAATGGGTCAAATACAAAGACCAACAAAGGTCCACAAAGTGGCTCATAAGAGCTGCATAAAAAGGGTTGTGAAAGGGAACTTGCAAGGGTCATAAAGGACAACAAGGAAAGATTTTGCAGTTATTTGAAGGGAAAGCAATTGGTTAAGGCCTCAGGAAGGGTCAGCAGACTTGGGAGATTAACTCTGATGTTTCTTCACAGATAGAATCCCACAGTGTGGAAACAGGCCAATTAGCCCAACAAACCTTCTGAAGAACATCCCACCCAGACCCATCCCCCTACCCTATCCCTGCATTTCCCATAGCTCACACACCCAAGCTACATATCCCTGAACACTACGGACAATTTAGCATGGCCAATCCACCTAACCTGCACATCTCTGGACTGTGGGAGGAAATCGGAGCACCCAGCGGAAACCCACAGACCCGGGGAGAACGTGCAAACTCCACTCGGGAAGACGGTCAAACTGGAATTGAACATGGGTCTCTGGCGCTGTGAAGCCATAGTACTAACCACTGAGCCACTGTGACACCCTGCCAGGCCTGCTGAGCTTTTCCGGCAACTTCTCTTTTTGTTCCCGATTTACAGCATCCACAGTTCTTTAGGGTTTTTTTTGGTTAAGAGCACTAATGGCCCACTGAGAGTGGGGATATTGTCAATGTCAATGGGAAAACAGTAGGCATGCCAAACGCTTATTTTACTCCAGTATTCACAGCAGAAGTCCCAAGGAAATTAATAGAGAATCAGGGACATGGTCTAAATAAAATTAGCTTAAGTAAATCATCAATAATAGGGAAATTAATGGAACTGAAGAGTGTCAAATCCCCAGGATCTAATAGTTTCCATCCATGGATGGTAAAGGAGGTAAGAGTGCACATTGTCAATGTCCTAACCATAATCTTTCAGAGTTCCCTGGATTCAGGAGTTATACCTCTAGATTGGAAATTTACTCATGTCACCCCGCACTTTAAGAAGGGTGACAGAGGGAAACCAGGGAATTACAGACCAGTTAGCCTGACATATGTGGTGGCAAGACTTTTGGAGTCTATAATCAAGAATAGAGTAACTGATTACCTCAAAAAATGTCAGTATATCAGGGAGAGTCAGCATGGACTCATGAAGGAAATGTCATGCCTGACAAACATCATAGAGTTTTCAGAAGAGGTGACAAAGGTGTTGGACAGGGTAAATTTATGGATGTTGTTCATGTTGACTTCTAGAAGGCTTTCAATAAAATCCCACACAAAAAGACTGTTAGCTAAGATGGAAGCCCATGGAATTGAGGATATGTTACTGACATGGATAGGAAACTGGTTGAGTAGCACAGGACAGAGTTGGAATAATGGGTAAGTACTCAAACTGGCAGGATGAGACCAATGATGTCCCACAGGGGTCTGTGTTGGGGCCTCAATTATTCACAATATTCATTAATAACTTGGATAATGGCATATAAAGTCAAATATCCAAATTTGCTGATGACAAAATTGGAAAGCATTGTAAACAGTGTGGATAACTGCGT